GTTCTCTTTATGGCTTAGAGCAGGTGTCTTCTACGTTTTCCAGGCCAAGGACCCCCAAACTGATGGTGAGATGGAGCTGGGGGGACCCCCTTATTATATATATTGTATGAAGTTGTGTTATATCAAACTGGTCCTACAGTCACTCTATTACAGATGGAGTAATGTAACAAAGGTAATTTCTCCCTGGGATTATTAAAGTATTTCTGATTCTTGGTTGATGGGACAGGTGTTGTGAATGAAACGGTGCCCAGCTTGAAAGAGCTCCTGTGTGTCGCTGAATGTGTGCATTGATGACTGAAAGACATCTTCTGCCTCCATTTATCTGTTTGCTACAGTGTGTTGAATTCATGTTAATGTACAGGTGCTGGTCATAAAATTAGAATATCATGAAAAAGTAGATTGATTTCAGTAATTCCATTTAAAAAGTGAAACTTGTATATTATATTCATACATTACATACAAACTCATATATTTCAGATGTTTATTTTGTTTAATTTTGATGATTACAAATGACAACAAATGAAAATCTCAAATTCATCATATCAGAAAATTAGAATATTGTGAAAAGGTTCAAAATTGATGGCCCCTGGTGCCACACTCTAATCAGCTAATTAACTCAAACCACCTGCAAAAGCCTTTAAATGGTCTTTCAGTCTAGTTCTATAGGCTACACAATCATGGGGAAGACTGCTGACTTGACAGTTGTCCAAAAGACGACCATCGACACCTTGCACAAGGAGGGCAAGACACAAAAGGTCATCGCTAAAGAGGCTGGCTGTTCACAGAGCTCAGTGTCCAAGCACATTAATAGAGAGGCGAAGGGAAGGAAAAGATGTGGTCGAAAAAAGTGTACAAGCAAGAGAGATAACCGCACCCTGGAGAGGATTGTGAAACAAAACCCATTCAAAAATGTGGGGGAGATTCACAAAGAGTGGACTGCAGCTGGAGTGAGTGCTTCAAGAACCACCACACACAGACGTATGAAAGACATGGGTTTCTGCTGTCGCATTCCTTGTGTCAAGCCACTCTTGAACCACAGACAGCGTCAGAAGCATCTTGCCTGGGCTAAAGAGAAACAGGACTGGACTGCTGGTGAGTGGTCCAAAGTCATGTTCTCTGATGAAAGTAAATTTTGCATTTCCTTTGGAAATCAAGGTCCCAGAGTCTGGAGGAAAAGAAGAGAGGCACTTCATCCACGTTGCTTGAAGTCCAGTGTAAAGTTTCCACAGTCAGTGATGGTTTGGGGTGCCATGTCATCTGCTGGTGTTGGTCCATTGTGTTTTCTGAGGTCCAGGGTCAACGCAGCCACATACCAGGAAGTTTTAGAGCACTTCATGCTTCCTGCAGCTGACCAACTTTTTGGAGATGCAGATTTCATTTTCCAACAGGACTTGGCACCTGCACACAGTGCCAAAGCTACCAGTACCTGGTTGAAGGACCATGGTATCCCTGTTCTTAATTGGCCAGCAAACTCTCCTGACCTTAACCCCATAGAAAATCTATGGGGTATTGTGAAGAAGAAGATGCAATACACCAGACCCAACAATTCAGAAGAGCTAAAAGCCACTATTAGAGCAACCTGGGCTATCATAACACCTGAGCAGTGCCACAGACTGATCGACTCCATGCCACGCCGCATTGCTGCAGTAATACAGGCCAAAGGAGGCCCAACTAAATACTGAGTGCTGTACATGCTCATACTTTTCATGTTCATACTTTTCAGTTGGCCAACATTTCTATAAATCCTTTGTTTTTATTGGTCTTCAGTAATATTCTAATTTTCTGATATGATGAATTTGAGATTTTCATTTGTTGTCATTTGTAATCATCAAAATTAAACAAAATAAACATCTGAAATATATGAGTTTGTATGTAATGTATGAATATAATATACAAGTTTCACTTTTTAAATGGAATTACTGAAATCAATCTACTTTTTCATGATATTCTAATTTTATGACCAGCACCTGTATATTTAAAGACATTTCAATTTGTGGAAAACATTGCAGGGGGGAATATAAAAAAAAAGTCTAATAAACCAGAACTTTTGCGATCCCCATGCAGAACCTCCATGGACCCCCTAGGAACACGGACCCCCTGTTGAAGACCTCCGGCATGCAGCATCAAGCTTGGTGTGTTCCCACTCATTCAGTTCTCTTGCTAAACAATAGCACCATATTTCTATTTGGTCAGCAAATTTCTGCAGAGCCAGAGAGACAGCACACTTTCTTTTGTTTTATTAATATAAAACCAATAAAAAAAATTAATTATTAAGACTGCTGTGTTAAAAACCCCAGAGTCAGGTATATATTGAGCCTGCATAATTTAGGGCATAATTAATGCACCTTGATATTATTACTGCAATGTGGGTTGTTTAAAAAGGGAGGAAGTTCGTTTATTGATACTGATTTCAAATATGTTGTCAAGCTTTAGTTAAGGGTTTCTGGCATTTTTACATGATCTAAAGGGCTTGTTGTGTCTAAGACAACAGATTATGTATTGCGCAGAGGTACCACAGAGGTTTAGGTGTAGCCTTAGTGCTAAAACCAGGCCGAATGCTGATTTAAAAAAAAAAAAATGTTTGGGAAGGAACTGGATGGTGTTTGAAGCATTGTTTGGTTCCTGTTTTTGTGTGTCAGAGCTTAGGTCTGATTTTCCTTTCCTTTGATCTGCTCTGCTGAGTGGAGAGTGACACCGAGCTAATGTCACATGAGGGCACAGGGAGCTGCCCCCAATATTTTGACATAAGCTGTGGACAGAGGGAGTGCTTGTCTCATAGTGGAAACATGTCATCTTAAAGTGAAACAGTCTGCTCTTTGTCCAAACTCACAGGTTTCCAACATCTTTTCCATTCTTGTATGTTTTCATTTATTCATAGATTATTTTTAGCATCATACTTATTTGAGATGTGAGGATGAAAAAAAAGGTTTTATTCTAAAGGTTTAAATAGTTCAAAAACCGAACAGTTAACAACCTCATATCATTGAGTTTGTTAAATACATTTGCAGCTATAATGTAGCTAAAACAAAAATACATTTCCTGGTTGTACATTTGATTAGTTCAACCCATTCTATTGTTTATGCTCTAAAAACATTCTAAATGACTTTGTTTCGAGTAAATTCTGGATGCTACCCACTCAGGACACTTGGAATACATTGGACGAGCAGTATGGAGGAATATTGAAACGTTTTTTGTGGACTTTTATGGACCTTTCTGTCTCGGTCACCATAGACCTCCATTATTTGAATGTCAGCAGACAGCAAGAAGCCTCCCAGATCTCCAGATGCATTTGAGATATCAAAAAAGTACTCCAGAGTGTTGTTCAGCATGGGGGTGAGTAGAAAATGAAGGCTAATCATGTTTTGGGTGTACTATTCCTTTAATAATACTGGTTGATCCTAATTATGTAAGTGCCATAAGAGCACTAGCAAACAGTGATGGCAGCCTGAACAGTGAGGCTTTTATGGGAATGTGAGCAGGAGATGTACTCCCCCAATACTGCAAGGGCAAAGTGAAAGAAATTAAAAAGAAGTCTGGACTTTTCACAACTGTACCTTGGCTCAGTTTTTTCTTTTTTTCTGAAGATATTTCAGCACCTATACAGGAGTATTTGGCAATTCTTGCACCACAGCTAATAACACAAAAAATCTTTTAGGTATAAGATGACAGAGTTGGTTCAGGGTCCCCCTTTACTCTGGGCCATAGAAAGCTGACCTGGTTAATCTTCACATTACTGGCCTTAACAATAATGGATGGAGAGTTTTCTCCCGTCCTCACAAAAGCTGGGATGAGATCCAATGATCCTAACATTTCAGGTCCAATACCATTACAATCATGATAGAAGAAGTGGAGAGGGTGGAAAAGTACAGTACCTCTGCATTCACTTAGACAGTCAATTCAACTGTGAAGCTGTCTACAAGAAGGGGCAGAGCAGACTGTATTTCTTAAGGAAGCTTTTCTATTTGCAGAAAGAAGCTGCATGTCTTTTATAAGTCTGCTGTGGAAAGTTGCATCATGGTCGGTTCTGTTTTAAAAACTCCTCTAGAACCACTGGAGAGAATTTCACAGCAGAAGAATTATGGACAACAGTGAGCGTCCTTTTCTTCTGATTTTTTAACCACAACAGTGCTCCTTCCGTCAGAGGCTTCTCGAAATCTGGTGCAAGACAGACAGCTACAGAGGATCCTTCCTGTTAAAAGACATTAACCTCTAAACCAAGTGGTTGAAAAAAAATCCAAACAAACAAACCAACAAAATTATAGCAATTACAACTTTTGTTTTCCTGTTGGGATTAAAAAACTATTTTAGAATTAAACTGAGAATGTTTTAAACAGTCCTGCCTGCTAAATCTGCTTCTCTAAGCTGAGTTTACCAGTGAGACCAACAATGTCGTTCTGATGCTAACTGATGTGATGATAGCAAGGTGTGTTTGTCTTTTTATGTTTCACATACTGAAAAAACATATTTATACTAAATCAGTCCCAGTTATTCTAATATTTTGCTGAAAAATGTCAAAACAAGATCAATAAAACCAAAGACGACAAAGCAACTATTTGAATTTCACCACAGCTTGTCACCATTCAGAATATTGACACGGTATGAACTGTATTTTGTTGTTGAGATTCCCTTCTTATAATAATCTGAAAGAAATCACAGTAATTATGACTAATTAATTCTGAGGGTAGTGAGTTACACTGGCTACTTGCATACAGATACAGAGCAATTGAACTCTAAATTTGATCAATTAATTAATAGAAAATATATTAAAAAATAAATAAATAAAATTTTCCTTCTTTTTAATAATGATGTGTTGATTTATGTCAGGCTATCAAATAAAAAATACCTCACTCAAAATTCATGGTGGCTAAGTGACAAAAATGTGAGAAAGTTCAAAGTTTATGTCTGCTTAAACATCGCCCCCCAGGAGCAGCTCTTTCTCAGCATAGAAAAGCTTCCGGTGTTTGCTTTGGGTGAAATTAAGTTAGATATTTTAGGCATACCTTTGCTTCGCACATCTTATGAACAGCGATCTTGCACTCTGCAATCAAGGAGAGAAAGAGAAGAGAAGAATCAGCTTTGAGATGCATAAAAGAAGACTGCTGAGAGGATCTTGTCTGCTTGCATCCATGCTGGTCACGCCTGACATTGGACCTGATACACCTGATCTGAAAAGCTGTGGACTTACCCTTGCAGAACGCTCCTGGGTCTTCAATGTTCTTCTCGCAGACGTCACATGCCCGTCTTTTCTTAAAGCTCTTCACCGTGAAGATGTGACCAGCTGGTTTGTTGAGCTGCAGAGACACACAGGGCTGTCAGAGCTGATCGCCAATACAACACATGCATGAAGATACCGCTGCTCCAGAAAGGAAAGCATTGTCTCTGTGATGCCAAACTGAAACAAGCATAACTTTTTTTTTTATCTCCTTTGGCTTTTGGGTTCCCACTGTTTCAAGAGTTGCTGTTGTCAGAACAGATGTGTTTCAGTGGCACACCAGCATGAGCGCAGAAACCGAATAGCTGTCACATCACACTGTCTATAAAATGTTCCGATTCTGTCTCAGTCTGTGTGCCGACCACATGATGGAGGACACACGGGGGTTTCCAGGAACATCCAACCATCTCCTTATGGCTGAATGTGACTAGAACCTGGATGGGACTGAATACACTCAACAGCTTTTCCTCCCTAATGATGAGCACAGATTTTTGTTCCACATTACAAGGTGGAAACACAATGCTGGCAGCTGTGTAAAAATAAATAAATAAGAGCTTCAGTTGGCAAAGGAAAACATACATCTGACACAAAAAGACTCAACTGTTTACTCCTGGTAGAAAGCTTCATATACACCACCTAACAGACGTACACACACACCTTAAACATTTTCTCATGTTACAGTCCTAAACTCTAACGGGTTTTACTGGGATTTCTTGTGATAGCCTCTCAAAAAAGACATAAAGGTGAAATGAAAAACAAAAATGGTTTTGATTAACTGCATTTGAAAACAAATGCATGCTTTAATCTGAAAACATGCATCTTGTAACATGACTTCCATGATTGCCCTGGAAAAAGACATGCCTTAAGCTGGCGACTGTGGGCCGGATCTATCAAAGGTTTGCGTGTATAAAAACGTGAGCTATTTCACTGCGCACGCTAAAAAATGTACAAACTGATCTATCAACAGCGTGCTAAAAGGATTTGGTCTTTAAAACGTGCTAAATAGCGCCTCTTATCCATTTAGTACTTTTTCTGCAATGAATATGCAATATGGGGCGTTTACACGCAAAAGTGCGTCTTGTGGGAGGAGAACATGTAAATATATTAATTTAGCACTCGCAAAGTGATTTATCAAACCTGAAAGCAATTTTGCTAACGGTATCTGACTCTATATTTAACAAGTTTCAAAAGAAGGTGCAAATGGTCTGTATGCATAATTGCGCACACATGGCAGCGGTTATTGTCGCAAGAAGGAGACATCGAAATGAAGCAAGGAGACGCAGAGAACGCATTTTTTCACTCCGTGTGAATATTTTTGGAATGAACGAGGAAACGATCATCAAAACATATCGTTAATCCAGCATTGCCATTTTGGAGCTGTTGGGGGAAATCCGAATGGATTTGGAGCCAGCCACAAGGAGGACCCACGCAATACCAGATATCACAAAACTCCTTGCAACATTGCACTTTTTTGCATCTGGGATCTCCCAATGTCATTTTTCAGAAGTGCTGTCCGACGTTCTAAATGCCATGTCGCCCTGACGGGGAACCCCGACTTCCCACTTTTTTTTTTTTTTTTTTTACTGCAGTGAAGTAGAAATTCAGCCACATACCACCTTAGGGAATAAAGGTTTTGGAGGGGGTGGGGGTGTCACTGTAAGATTAAAATTTCTTAATGCACTAGTTTGCACAAACTACAAACTACTTTGCCGCAAACCACAAAACGCGCAAAACCATCATTTAAATAGGGTGTCTCCAACAGTTTTGCACCTGCCACCAGTTACGCAATCGCTCTTGTTAAATCCCCCGCAAACCATGGATAAGTCCCTCACGCAAAATTCCAGTTTGTGAGCGCAAATTACTGCACGCAAAATTGGATCTTGATAAATCCGGCCCTGTGTATTCAGTGTTAAGTTTTCCAAAAAAGTAAAAAAAAAATCAAATCACTGAACTTTGTTTTCCAAGTTTGAAGACGTTTCGCTTCCCATCCGGGAAGCTTTTTCATCTTTTTCCGAAGCGAAACGTCTTCAAACTTGGAAAACAAAGTCCAGTGGCTTGTTTTTTAACTTTCTTGGAATGACTATGACTTGGATAACAGGGAATCTCCACCAGCACAGTGTTTGCATTATACATTCAGATCTTATTTAACTAGTCCAATTTAACTGTTTAGATCGTATTTAACTCAAGCACCTTCATTCGTGTGTTTGCTGTTTCTCCTGCAGGGTTTGTACCTCCCTGCAAAGGGCAATTCTACTAGCTAATGTCATTCTTCTAGCCAGTCTTTGCTATCCTGTAAAATGATTCTCCCACCTGACCTGTGGATCTATTAGGATTCATAAATTATTTTTGAATTTTGATTGATTTGAGAGTGTTGTAGTTGCCAGCTGGAAGACAGTGGGATGTGGTAATGTTCAGTGTTATTACAGGCAAAATGCGCAGAAAATAACATATTTCCCTATGTTTAATGTATTGAAAGAATAAAACAATATGTGCAAAAGCAAATATTTTTACAGTAGTCTATGAATCAATTGTTAAACTAATGTAAAGTAGGGTTATTAATGATCCCCAACCATCCCAGTTGGACTACTATCTTCAAGGAGCATTTGCACTTCTTTTCTCTTCCTGCTTTTACTGCCACTAACGTTCTCTAACAAACCTTTATAAAGCAGCTGTAATAAACTCCAAACTCCTGACCTCTGGATACCAACTACAGTGTGTTACTTTGGTTGTACTGGGTTTTATTTTGGGTTGTCAGAGTAAACGGCGGCTGAATGCAGTCGTATGCCGATCGTTCTGGTTAGAAAGATGGACATATAAAATGCTTTATCACTCTTCACAACTAGGCACTACAAGGTGTTGGTTTTAACGCAAAAAAATGTAAATAAGTTTAGACGATTTTTAGGCCCTGTAATATTACTTGCTGAAATAGTTTATCCAAGTAAATGAGCAAAATCCTACCTACTTTAAACTTTAATGACAAAATTATAACAAAGAAAAAACTATACATATTTTTTCTCATGCAGTATATGAGCTGAAAGGTTAAAGGCAATGAGTCATAATCCACAGATTTTGTGTCTGGTTTTGAACAGCCACCTTTCATGGTGAAAAGGCGTGGGGTCATGTTTATCCAAGGCTAAGGCTTTTTTCGTAACGTGAGGCACAGGAAACCATTATAATTTTCCTAGAGCAGCGGGGGAGGAAGGGCCTGGAAACATCAGGAAGGTGGGTTGTGCCACGGTAGCCAGAGTGTAAGAAGTTTAGAGCAGCAAACACTGCATAGATACAAGAGGCACGTGTGTTTGACAGCTAATGTGCTTTCAGTTTCTCTAGTAGACTTTGCATAAGAAAATAGGTTTGATAATTGATTAATCTACCGATTATTGTTTCGATAGCAAAAGGTTCATTAAATACAATAAAAAAAAAAAATAATTGAACCAGGTTAAACGGAATTTTTTGCACTTGCGGAGTTCTAGATAGAGCATATTGACAGACAAAATTGTTTTTATCTTAAATGCTAAATATTTTTTACAGCAGTCTATGAACAAATTGTTAAATTAATGTAAAGTAGGGTTTTATATATATATATATATATATATATATATATATATATATATATATATATATATATATGAATCACACTGACCACCAAGTAATGTACCTGTCAGACGTGATAACTGCAGGAGGTTACTATAATTTACCTGAATTACGTTAGACTCTAACTAACCAAAATAATCTTTGTATTCTGAATTTTACAACACTGTGTGGGTGCAACAACTTCAAAGCTACATATATTTTTTTGATCCTCAATGTCTTCTCATTCCCATTTATGTGTTGATGTGAACACATGGGCCAATATCTGCTAAAACACCCAATAATGATTCACCTGATTTTTTTCATAAAACTTCCAGAGCGTCTATGATGATATTCTTTAACAGGGTTCCTTAGGGTCAAGGTCATTGTTGTTAAATAAAAGTAACAAAATAAAACAAAGTAGAATTAAAAATGATTTTGTGAACTGAAATACATAAAAAAAAAAAAAAACAGTAATACAACTAATTCAAACTAACTAAATTTTAAGAGGGAATTTGCTTAGTTTCCTTTTTTGTCTTTATTATAATGCATTACTTTGAGGTCTATTTTCCGGCTGCTGTTTTCACAGTTTTTTCAATGTCCTGCATTACACCAGGAGATGGCAGATGGCAGTGACGTCATAAGTATTGCTTGTTTATTATTTCTATTTTCCTTTTTTAAAGTCTTGCCCCTGATTTGTAAGTCATATTACATTACAGACTAAAACTATGTCTAAGTTGATAAAAACTACAATAACACTAATCATTTTCAAAAAAGATCAACAAAAGTAGCTAAACTAAAATAAAATTGAAAATCAGAAGTTAAAATTAAATAAAAATTAAAAACTGATAAAAATTTCAAAACTATCTAAAAATTGCTCAGGGCCTTTGAAAGACAAAACAGGCCCACAGCATCACACAGCACACATCTTACCTTACTGGAGTTATCACATCAAAACCAACCTAAAATGTTTGTTGCAGAAAACATGAATCTGACCTGATCATAACTAACAGTTATTGAGGGGAGTGGCCGCCTAGTGGTTAGGGCTTTGCGCTGATTTCCCAGAGGTTCTGAGTTCAAAGCCCACTCCCACCGACTGCCAATCTGGCTCCCTGAGCAGGACCTTTAACCCCCATCACAGGAAGAGATATTATGAAGCTCTAGCGGAAGGTCAATTGAAGAAACTCTGGCTTACCTCCATCCAATCAGAAGCTGATCTGTCTCCGAAGCGAGCCAATCAGCTTCGAACTACTCCACCACGAAGCACAATCAGCGTCCTGCTTTCACTTTATAAACTCCTTCAAATCCTCATCCCAGCCCGCTATCCTGCAATCGCAATGTCGGATTTCGATTCAGACAACAATTCACCCACCTCCATCCCCTTCTCCGCCATCGCAGCTGAATCATCCTCCATGACACGACTTCACCTCAACCTCATCAGAGAGTATTAATCCCAGTTGTCACCATCCCTCGTCTCATCGCATTGGTCCGGCAGAAGACCACCATGTT